TGCCGAACTGTATTAAAGCTTTAATCAGAATAAAACCGTATATTAAAAGCTAACAGAAGCAGTAGCATTTACAAATAACAGCATATCTAAAAGAATGAGACAACAACAAACAAAAATCTTCGGCCTACCATTAAAAGCCGTGCTTGCACAGGTTCTGCGCGATCCTCTTCAATAATATCCTCTGCGTCTCAATCGGCCTCAAACTGATAAGCAATATAGACAACGTCATTGTTTACAATACAACCGGATGACATACCGCTATGTTGAGGGGTGGGTCGTCTAGACGCACGCTAGAGGCAGTTTAGCCAATCACAACACACTGGGCCAGCTAATCAATCAGAGCCCATCGTGTATTTCTGAGGAAGGGGCTTCATAAAAGCAGGAAATGATCAGTGCGTTCAGAGGAGAAGGGACAGAGCAGTGTGGAATAAAGGTAAATTATGTGAAAAATAATGCATTTTTTAACAAACGAAGCATTAATGCATGTTAGACTGCACCCCATAAACACAATCAAACAGTCAACCACCCCTTTAAAACATATATTTAAAATGACACACACACATCAAGTGTGTACATGTGCAGCTGCTTATCAAGACATCAAGTGTTGACCAAAAAATTAATAATGAGTTATGACTTTTTCCAGTGTTCTGGAAATATAGAATCCTTAGTACTGTCAGAACAACTAGTACTGAACTGTTTTTTTTGTTTGCTTGTTTTGTAGAGAGAAATTCTGTAATAGATTATTTACACCTTATCCGTCACTTCTATGTGGCATCACTGCTGTTTGACGTTATTTACACAAGACATGTCAAGTCATGGGAATACAACACTGCACTGCAGTATTGTCTTATTGTCAGCAATTGAACTGTCATCTGTGAAGCTGTTTATTGATTCTCTCTGTGACCTACAGTGAGAGAGTTTACACATGATCTGTCACTGCTCAGGTGAAAGATTCCAGTTTGAAACACTGGCGTAAAAAAAAAAAAACTGCTTCCTGGGGGAGATGCTAGGCTTGTGTTTCTGTGTTACAGTTTTGCAGAAGCTTTTATGTCAACTGTGTGAAGGTATCTGGTACAGCGTTTCCCTCTTCTGCACATTAACACATGCACACAGTGTTTTAAAAGGCAAGTGTGTTATTTAATTTAATGTTAAAATACAGCACTTTACACTATTATCCCTGTTTTTGCCTCAGAATAAAACATTTATTTTGAGAGTTTTTTTATGATTAACATTTTTTTAATGTTTCTGAAATAAGTATCTCATGCCGATTAAGGCTACATTTATGTAATCAAAAATATAAAAATATTTTTGATAAATGTTATTACAATTTATAATAGTTTTCTATTTATGTGTTCTATTCTTGCGATGGTAAAGTCAATACTTAAGTCTTCAGTGTCACAAAATCAGCATTTTATTTTGCTGATTTGGTGCTTTTTCATCATTATTATTATTTTTAAATAAAAAGTTACAGTTTACAGTTTTTGCTGCTTTTGTTTGGAAGCCATGATTCATTACCATTCAAAAGTTTGGGGAAAGTACAATTAAAAAAAATATAAAAAATAAATGAATACTTTTATTCAGCAAGGGAACAATAAATATATAAATGCATTGACAGTGAAGACATTTATAATGTTACTTTAAAGTCATACACTTGTGCATTTTACATAATGAGGGACCAGGGTTATTAAACTAAAACTGAAACCAAAAACAAACATTAACTGAAATAAAGTAAAATAATAATACACTTTTATTTCAGCTAGTTGCAAGGCAACATTTCTCATCTTCATTTAGTTTAACTTGATGTACTAAAATAACTAAAACTGTAATAAAAATTAATGAAACAATACAAAAAAAATATTATATAAAAATTATTGTATAGATACAGTATGTTAAGAAATTATAATATTTTAAACTAATATGAATTATTTAAAATAATTAAATAAAAAATCACAAAAACACAATAGATTGACTAAAACGTTAATTAAAATGACAATTAAAATGGAACATATAAGTAAGTTAAACAGATGAGGTTTAGCTTCTTATCTTATATTATGTCTGTTTTTTATTTTATTTTATGTTACTAATAATGTTACTATTTCTATTTAAAATGAATGCTATTCTTTTGAAGTTCAAACTGTTTTCAACATTGACATTAATAAGAAAACACAGCTAATTCTGAATGCATGTTATTGGGGAAAATAATAGTTTTTTTTAGCAAGTCCAAACGTCTCCATGCTAATTAGCTAAACCATGACTCCTCTGTCCCAAAACAGCAACTTTAGCTCAACCAATGATGCAAATTTTAGGCCGGGAGGAACTGTTCTCAGGTGTCTCCAGGAAACCTATTTATAACAATCATATTTTTGCAAATAACTCTGAATTTTACAGACACAGCAAGCAAGGGAATGTGGGACAAAGAGAAAAAGGTCATAGTGAGTGAATCTCTGAAATCAGACTGAGAGTGTCCATGTGGTTAACAGGTTATTTGTCATCCTTTTGTTGCAGCTATTAAAGCTAACATCCACATGACCCGAGCAAGTCTTGCTGTTCTAAGAGTGTGTATACAGTAGCAACCACCAGACACATACTACAGGGGATAAAAGCACTTCTTTTCACACTTAGTAAAATCTGAAAGATTTTAGTATGTGCCCCTGTGGAGATCTCCATGGTAACTGTTAGCATTGAGCTTGCCGAGCTTTAACTGGCGGCCACTGTGAGAGCTCTGCTGTGGATCTAAAACAGTGTGTGCCAAAGTCGGAGTCACGACTGAGTCACAACTCAGTCCTCCCTCACTGGCCTTTGAGTACACTGACATGCCCGTTGTGTCTTTCTCCCCACACTGTGATATACACACCTCACCCATCATGCGCTCTGTAGGACCTGCGGAGCACAATACACTGCCCTGCCTCCATCTTCCCACATCTCTGAACACTCACATTTCCTGTGGAGTGAATCATCTGTTTATTCTAATGCTCTGTGATCACGCCTATCATACGTTTGGAAGAGACAGGCAGGTTAAACAAATATATTAAAAGTGAATTATATATGCCAGCGGTCTTTACACTTTTTTTAGGAACAGGACGGA